GTATTATTGTTTAGGTTTAAGTAGAGTGAAATAAAGTTCCCTGATTCAGGTTTCATTGCATGTGAAACTCAATGATACGGTGGTTATCACGGCTGGGCTCACCAGGCCCGTCACCGGGCTCATCGGCTATCAGTGAGTCACCTCGAAAAGGTAGGTACGCTCGAGTTCAGTGCACAGTTCAGTTATGGCTTCAATACGATGGTGTCGGTGGAATTTCAGAGTCGGTGTCAGAAAATTGGAGTGTCGCTTATGCATCTGACCCGACTGAATGGGAACGGAAATTTGGTTGAAACTCAATGATACGGTGGTTATCACGGCTGGGCTCACCAGGCCCGTCACCGGGCTCATCGGCTATCAGTGAGTCACCTCGTAAAGGTAGGTATGCTCGAGTTCGGTGCAGTTCAATTAGGGCTTAAATATGATGTTTTTAATGTGATTTCAGAGTCGGTGTCAGAAAATTGGAGTGTCGCTTATGCATCTGACCCGACTGAATGGGAACGGAAATTTGGTGAATGCTGGGAAGTGGCGGAGAAAATACTTGACAAAAAAGCAAACCATCCAGAGCATGACATCACTTATAACGAGGTAATCGATAGTTTTTGGCGTTTTTTTTATTTGAAGAAAAATATCAGAGAGATGGGAGCGTTATGATTCTTTTTTGTTGTAATTTAGCTTTTATGTTCATCTGACAACAAATATTCGTTGCCATTTATTTGCAGATGACCCAACTTGTGGCTCAATTAACTAGAATGTGTCAACTGCTGATGATGGAAGTGAACGCACAACCGGAACCAGCCATAGGACCTATTCTTGACCGATATTTCACAAATCAAATTATGGAAATGGTTCTCGATTGGGCGATTCAAGTTCCTGATTTTCTGAAGCCGACCTGTCAGGTACGCACCCACCGCCTATACCTTTATTATACATATTTGATTCCCTGATCAAGTAATTATATTTTGTTATTTTTCACTGTGCTTGTGTTTTCCATTAGACAGTGAGCATTACACTCGTAGGTGGAATGCATTGCAGTATTCTTTAAAGTGGGAAATGAACCCTCCCGGATTACATTGGGATGGTTACGAGTAAATCAATAATAATGGTAATAGAAGCACTAGTGCCTCTCCTCTTTCCAGGGTGTGAATGACTTTTGAACGATAGACCTGTATCGGGTTTCGGGTAGTGTTTCGTGAGTAGAAAGAATTTGCTCGACATGGATGACGGTGATCCCGAAGCCCTTCATTCTGTCTGACTAACCTTGATTTCTAAAGAAATAGACGTGATGCAAATGCTGTATCGATGAAAGTCAAGTTGAATAATGTAGAAGGTAGTCGCACTAAAAGTAGCGGCCAAAATAATGGGTAGGAGAGGATTCGATGCGCACTACGTTATAGAAGCAATATGTAGTTGGAAAGTTTTAATAGTCACACACAGCTACTAGATGCTGGATTGATAACAATAGCCAATAGCTCTGATATATCTTTCGATATTCCA